CTGAGTAGCTAAACTGGGAGGCGAACCGTCATTAAACACTAATCGGTGTTTTGTATGACTGACGGCCGCAGTGTGTGTTTGGGGGGGCCTCTCCTTTTAAGGTCTTTGCAGGTAGAGTTCTCAACAAAAGTTCCATCTGGTTTGAGATACCTAAGGGTGTGTAGTCATTCATTCATTCATTCATTCATTTTTTTCAATCAGTCATTTGTTCATTCAGTCATTTGTTCGTTCATTCAGAGATGTCTCTTATTATACTCTCGCTGGAGAAGAAGCAAGGAAAAATGCTTTTTGGTACTAAAAACCTGAAAAGTGAGAATTGATACCACCTCCGGCAGAGGTTATCAGGAGATTGGTTCCTTGGCCTTTAATATAAAAATATTTCTCTCTTAAAATATTTACCGAAGACAGGGATGAGCTGTGTGTCTAGTTATCCTTTGGAATACAGAATAAATCATGATTTTTTTCTTTAAAAAAATGTCGTGGTTCAACCGGTTTCCCTCACAGTTAGATTTGATCTCATTTCTTTTTTTATTTCTGGCATTAGTTACCTAAATGGGGCTGAGCTCCTAAAAACGACTGAGATTAAAATCATCACACCATTTCGCCAACAGAAAGCCAAGCAAGAGAAATAAATAACCCAAGCCTTCACATTTAAGTCAATTAGTCCTTTTTTAATAAATTCGAATTCATTCATCGACAAGTTTCATATTGTATCTATCACTCAATTTTGCTGTTTGTTTTTTGTTTTTTTTCATGTCAAATAATACGAAAAAGTACATCAATGTGCTTGAGCAAAATTGGGTTTTATCTTTACAATGAGATGCAACCAGCATGGGACTCGGTCGTGACAGCAGGCGCCCATTCCTACCAGAACGACCCTGTACTTACCTTGAACTGACCCACGGACTCGCGAGGCTGCTAAGGGGGAGGCGCCTGGTGGGTGTCACTCTCTGAGGGGTCCCTGTTGACCCAGGTGTTGGGAATTGAGTGTTTCAGGAAAACACGGCGCCCTTCACTGCAGTAGAAGAGGTAATTGGTCCAAGGCACACCAGCGAGTGTCCCGGGAGAATTTAACCCGCCTGGCCAGCTCTCGGCCCCAGAGCTCAGTGGCTGGCAGGAGACGGGGGCCAGAGTCAGTTCCGCGCGTGACAGGAAACATCGCCACTTAGCTGTTCGGGTTCGCTTACATAAAACGGGGTTTCAGGTGGAGAATTCAAATAAGAATTACGGGATGGCGTTTTCTTTCGAGCCATCCTGGCTCCAGGACGCGCCGTGGCGAGACCCGCACACACACCGGGGTTCCCTACGGGATGCCGAACGTGAAGACGCACGGTGGCAGCGTGCCCGTCCCCTTAAAACCAGGCCCAGACGCGCTTGCCGTCACCCTGGTGAAATCTCCGATTCCACACCGGACGGGGGAAAGCGCCTTTGACGTGAATGACAGGACACGTCAAAGGTTCTGGGCGCTGGCTTTAAAAACGGGCGACATTGCAGGCGGATGTGTCATTTTCAAAGCTAACGGGAATATTCTCATGGCATTTTTTTTTTCTAGTTCATTTCAGACTCGGGGGAGATGGATGTCTCATGGTGTAAGACGGAGCAGGGCCGGTGAACGAGAGTCACACCCGTTTCACAGATGATGCCCACAGTGACGCCCACCGGGCGAGTCTCCGTGGGGACTGTGGAGCAGGACTCTTGAACTGTGTCAAGCGTGTCTGCACACGGGTCATAAAAAAAACGTCAGAACGAGATTCTTCTGTGCATTTCTGAGCCCCTGGGAAGCATTTTGGAAAGACAGGACGACTTAGAAAATTAACTTTTTATTACGTTCAATTGTGAGAAAGAAATATCATTATATTCCAAATTCAGCTTTACTCTCCTTACTCTAGAGGCTTGGACGTGGGTGACGGCCACCTCGCAGTGATGCCAGAGGCCCGGTGACTACCGCGGAGTCATGAGAAGTCGCCACGACAGAACAGACAACCGAACTCAACTCCCTCCTGTCGAAATCGCCAAGAGTTCTGTGTCTTGAGATTTCTCGCCGCGTTTAAAAATGGAGAAGCTATAAAATAACTTTATTAGAAGAAAAGGAAGTTTCTTCTCAAATGGAGTAAAGCAAACACATACCCAAGGATCTTAAAAAGTTGTGGTTTTTTTTATACAGAATATGTGTATGATTCGTGTGTGCGTGTGCGTGTGTGCGCGTGTGTAGTTACAAACACTATTTATAGTAGAGCTATTATGTTAACGACATCTCCGTGTGTACAAAGTTGTGGATTCCAGTCTTGGTGCCAAATGCATATAAAAAAAGCTCAAAAGCTATTAGGACTAGACCATGCAAATTTATGTCCAGAAAACCTTGGGAAGTTGACTGCAGCGCGTCTGAGCCCCGTGGGGGTCTCTGCCTCTGAGGCTGGGGCCCCTCGGCCCTTCCTCAAAACGTCCTGAATCGCTTTCCTACCAGAAAGGACGAACGTCTCCATTCACTGAACACTGGCTGCTTCTCGCCCACGCTCGTCTGCGTTTTGGGGTCTCTCTCCCGCATGTGGAGCTCACCGCTCGCATCACCGGGTACAGAAAAGAGGGGTACCTGAAGTGTGGAAAGGGATAAGGTCTTCACGAATGTCTTTTGTTTTTTTTTCTTTAACATGTTAACAATGATAAGGCCACTTAAAAGGTTTTTCTTCCCAAGCTGTTTGACTTTTAAGATGCCCCCTGCATTGTCACCCATGGAAAAAAAGTGTCAGAGAGAAGCCAGAGACCAAGATGTCGCTGGCTGGCTAGTCTCCAGACAGAAACAGAACTGGAGAACGGGGCTTGGGTGGGGGAAGACACCAAAGGAAGGAAGGGTGGCGAGGGGAGGACGGAACATTTGGTACTTGCTTCTCGCATGCGACTTTGGGGGGCACGTGTCACCTGACAGCGGGTTTTGAGCTGTTAAGACTCCTGCAAGCTAATGGCTCTTACGGCCACCAAAGAAAAATCAGGTTGTGGTCGTCAGCTCAGGGTGACGGCCCCACACCACACGCAGCCTCGGGAAAGCTGCTGCCTCTGCCTGCGGACGGGACTCTGCTCATCGGTTTTGGATAGGACAGACAGGGCGAGGCATATGTGACATTTGGGGAGAAAGTATCAATTTAGCAGTTCTTTCCTGAATATTTTGCTTTTTTTTGTCCCCCTCCAAATGCTTCGCTTCACTGTGACATTGTTGGCACAACTGTAGTCATTTCAGTTTATGGATGCCTGTGATAGAAATATTGTTTACAAAAAAATATATCATCTCTTTTTTTTTTTTTTCTTTAGAAAGATCTCGTCTAAGTAGTAAGTTAAGGTTGCGTCTGTGAAACCCGTGGACCGCGTCCTGTTGGCACGAGCTTCGAAAAGTCCAAATACCGACGAGGCTGTGGATCGGAAGGAAGCCAGTGACCGGGAGCGTCGAGGCCGCTCGCCTTCGCCTGGGGCAGCCACGGGTCCGCGGGCGCGCCGGCGGCTGCCGTGTCCCCGCAGAGTCCTGCTTACACTGGGGGTGGCTGCGTGTGTTTAGGGCGTGTGTCAGATACAGAAACAAAGGCATGAGGATGTTTCTTGGTTTCCGAAACCGAAGCGTTGGAAGTGTTTTAGCCGCGATCTTAATTCTAGATAACAGAAAGTAGTTACATCACATTAAGGTGTGACATCGCATGCTGCCAGGGTAGCGAGCATCAGAAACAAAACCTTGGTAGATATACATATATATGCATATTATGCAAATATATTTTATATTAACATACAATGTTATAAGTGTGACTGGTAACGTAAAGCGGGCGGGGAGGCCATCCTCAACGCTCT